TGTCTGTTCGGGAGCTATTATATATTATTTCTGCTCTATAATACAACGTAATATTGGGAGCATGTAAATCTTAGACTAGAGGGTAAGAACCTCTGTAGGTGTTTCTTTTTCATTGTTCCACTTTAGGGTTGTCTGGAAGAAATCGCTTGTTAGCGATAAGGCCGCCCGTTGCCTTATAACTTTTGTTACCTGCTTTTTTTATTTTATTAACACTTCGTTGCATATACATAAATATAATACAATTGACATAATTAAATAAAAAGGAGAGCAACTGGCGGCCTTATCGCTTTCGAGCGATCTCTTCCAGGCAACCACTGTGAGAAAAGAAAAAAAAAAGTATTAAATTACATAAGATAGGCAAGAAGTGCAAAAATGAATGTATTACATATAGTTGTTGAGAAAAAGAAACTAAACAGGAACAAAAAAACAAACTAATAAAGGACACGACAGCTGGAAGTTGGCCATGGTTAGTAACTAGGTCAGGAGAAGAGGTAAATATAAGATCCAATAGGGAAGGAGTGGAGCCTGGGACTTCATGCGTGGCGCGAAGTGGCAGGTTATGAAGATTATAAGAGTCGGTGATGGAGAGCAACTTCTTCGATCGGCAGTCGTCTTTTATTAAGCAGGTATTAAAATCACCCATAATTACTATGTTTTTATAAAGAGGCACAAACCTTTCAAGAGTATTATCAAAACCTGCGAAATAGTCGACTTAAAGAGAAGGAGAGTAGAACACTCCAAGGAGAATTTTAGTTTTAATTTTAGTTTCAGAAGATGCTCGCATGCATTCGGTGGTGGTAGTTGAGGAGACATATTGATAATAGTGTAAGGGATGTGCGATCGTAGGTAAATAGCGACGCCACCTCCACGCATTCCAACTCAATCATTTCTTATTAGGTTAAAACCGGGGATAGAATAGCTAAGAGAGGAGAGGGTTGGACACAGCCAAGTCTCTGATATCAGGATGGCGTGAATTTCATTGGATACAAATGTTGTCAACAAGTCCAAATGATGAGCAGGAACGCTTTGAGCATTAATATGGATGACATTTAAGTGTCTCGATTGGTCTTTGAACAAAGCTGTGTTATTTTTGTTATGTGTATGTTTTTAATTAAGGTAATAAAGTATAAATAAATAAATAAGCATTAAAGTCGAGATTTAGTAAAACATATTGTGATTCCCGAATGTCCAAATTCAATATCCATTTTATATATGTGAGTCAAACCTAGCTTAGCTAGCTAAAGCTTTCACGTTACGCGCTGAGATGCCGGCATCAGCGTGACTTTAAAACCAGACACAAAATTCGATGCGTCGGGCCTGATTACTGACTTTACTGCAAAAAAGCCTGTAATTATAAAGAAAATTGCGTATGTTATGTTTTCATTTCAAAAAGGTCTTTCGAAGTATAAAATAATATTAGCGCTAATAACGAAAAATATGGGTCCGCTGGGGCGGGGGCGGAACGGCGCCGAGAAAGCTTTTAAGTGACCCTCGCGAGATGACCGCCTCCATTACCGACTATAATTACTACGCCATTAAGTGACGACCTCCTAAATTATTGGGTTCTTATTAATGTTTATAACCAATTTATTTTAGATACGCGTTTAAAAATAATATTTCTTCAAATTCTAACTAAAACATCATAAATTCGATAGTTGTTATATAGAACAGGGGGCAAACGGACATGCTCACCTGATGCTAATTGATACCGCCGCCCATGAACACTCTCAATGCCAGAGGACTCGCGAGTGTGTTGCCGGCCTTTTAAGAATTGGTACGCTCCTTCCTTGAAGCACCTAAGTCGTTTCATTTAACAACTCTTAATAATCCGTTCAATTGCTAAACCAATAATGGAAACCTTATTTTATTATATAATAGTCTTATGTTTCAATAAAAAACACATTTGAAACATATTAGAAAGTATCTCAAGCCTTTTTAAGTTTACTTGTATGTGAATTTGCAGAAATTCGAAATACATAAACGGAACAACCGCGTAAAAACCGTAATCGTTATTTAAATATAATAAAAACAACGTACACTACAATGCTACAGCAGTACAAGTGTCAACACACAGACCTTTCCGGTGAACAAACAAACGCGGACATTGGTATTTGTTGTCTGTAAAAATCCAGCAGGGCGATGTTTTGCAAACGAGAGCAGTAAATTCAGTGCTTTAATTCGAGCGAATCGCAGGGGACAAGGCCATTTTTCAAAAACAATCACATATAAAACAATGAGGCGTGTCGACGCAAGCCGGACAAATGGATGCTTAAACGACAAAAATGCAGAACGATTTCCAATGCAATGTACTTATAATAAAGACAATGTTTTTGCGATGGATAAACTAGGTTTTTAGGACTTCAACTTCAGCCCTACCCAATTCACTGTAATTTTTATACCCAAAATTGCAAACCTGCTTGGAGTCACCGTTTAGGCGGGCCATTAAAACCTGAGAGCAGAGGCTTGGATTAAAACTCAAATTTGGACTATTAAAACAAATCACCTCCCTCATGGTAATGTATATGTGTATATGTACACACGGTAATGAAGCTTTATATGTACATATAGTTTCCTTTTCAAAACGATTACCATGTTAGGATTAAAGTCAGAAAACAAGTGAACAAAAACAAAAAGATCAACCATTCAAAAGTAATCGCAAACAGCTAAACAGATACTGAACTGTGATCCTCACAAAACAGATAACAGTCGCAAAAAACAACAAACAAAGTATAGAACGAGGAAGTGCGGTGATGCGCGTCACGATCCGTGTAACAACGAGCGGCTGATTGCCCCTGAAAGGGTGAAGCAAAACAAAAATGAAAAAACAGGCTGAACATTGCTGATTAAAACACGAGCTACGGTACAAAGCGATTATCGGACCGAACACTGCCATCTATTACTTTATTCCCCGTCCTCCCCTCAGCTACTGTCCTGAGAGGAGGACGGGGATTGTTGCTAGCATCGATGGATTACTCACTTTGTTATTGTAAATCTTTTGTCCACTATCAAAGCAGAGACGGGAATATCAAAAGACTGTTATTTCAGGTACAAAAGACCTAGATAATGCCTTTAGAAGCTCCGAGCCTTAGTATAAGATTTTATATTACGAATGAAAATAAATAACTCGAACGAGTGACCTTTTTATATGAGATGTGATAAAAATCTGTACGTAGCGAACTGGATTATCTAACCGTCGTTTTTAGGTCTCTAGACACATAAATATCCTTTATAATTGTGCGTAAAGATAAAATCTGTCTGGAGAGACGGTTAAAATATATAGACAAAATATAGGGGTAAAAGAGGGGTCGATATACAACGTAAAAAAATAATTTGGTATATAAAAAAACATGTTCGTTTTCATTTTTTCTTGATAATATTAAATTTTCTAGTCTTCAGCTGAAGTATTTCAAGACTTTTTGGTATTTATTTTTTCAAGCATAAGATACAGAAATATAAATAAAAAAACTTAATTTACGCGAAAATTACGGTGTAAAAAGTATAATTTTTTTAATCTATTACTAGAAGTATTTAAATAGAAATCCGATAATCGAATTATAATATTACATTTTCTAGCCTTCAGCTGAAGTATTTCAAGACTTTTAGATATTTATTTATTCAAGCTTAAGACACAGAAATATAAATAAAAAACTTAATTTACGCGAAAATTCCGGTGTAAAAAGTATACATTTTTTAATCTATTACTAGAAGTATTAAAATAGAAATCCGATAATCGAATTTCCAAACTTTATTTCTTAGATTGAACAGATCAAAATTATCCGTCATATTAAAAGATCAGAATCATACAATTTATTTAATTTAAAACAAAAGTAAATTAATTAGATTTAAACCCAGAACGTAAGAATATACAGTTGTGTGAAATTTGATTCCATAATATCATTAGACCAGCCAAACAGTCCCTATCTTATAATTATAGCAAACATTTTAACAAGAGTTTTGTTTTCTTCATTAGGTTGTTGGTACAATTTGATTATAAGTTACGACGGTAAATTGTTTAGTGGATTAAGTAATTTTATAAGTTAGTACAAATATGGTTTGTTAGGTTAAAGGTTGGTAGACTCGGTTTCCGAACTTAGACTCTCATTAGGTGCGTTGTGCGTAAAGTCCTGGCTAACTAAGCCAGCCTAGCTCCTTCCTGAAGAACTGTCCTGGGCAGTTCACCGGCTTCACGGAGCGACCTCACTGCTTCGAGGCTTTCTGTACGTTGGTTAGCCACAGCCACGTATTCCGTAACTACGTGGGTTTGTGTACAGGGTGTCTGGTAAATGATCAAACCGAAATCGTGTGCAATTTGCAAATTATTGCCACTCAAGAACGTAGATGAATTTACGCATATCCAAATTCTTATCTACATTTACTTACCATATATGAAGTTAATAGTGTGTATTTGAATAAGAATGATCATGAACTCACACAGAGATATAGCATTCCTCAGATTCAACCCAAACCTATAAGGTTGTAGCGCTACGGGTTTTTTTATTAAGAGTTACCAAAAACTATATCTTATCTCTAGACATTATATTTGAAGTAGTTTATATATTTAGTACTTAAGTATACATATGATTGTGAAATTATTATCAAAACTGTTAACAAATAAAATTCCTATAAATTATTGCCAAATGGGACGTAAGAGGCTTATTAATTTGCGTTAAAAATTTCCAAAGTCTTTAATATGCAAGTGAGAGCAGTGTTGGCCTAGTGGCTTCAGCGTGCGACTCTCATACTTGAGGTCGTAGGTCCGATCCCCGGCTGTGCACCAATGGACTTTCTTTCCATGTGCGCATTTAACATTTGCTCGAATGGTGAAGGAAAGCATCGTGAGGAAACCGACATGTCTTAGACCCAAAAAGTCGACGGCATGAGTCAGGCACTGCAGGCTGATCACCTACTTGCCTATAGATTTAAAAATGATTGAAACAGATTCAGAAATCTGAGGCCAAGACCTAAAGAGGTTTCACCACTAATTTTTTTTAATAAGCAAGTTATGAAAATATCAAATTACTCACATCATGAAGCCATGACAGTTTCCGTACCATTGGATTGGCTCGTACATGACACTCGAAGTACACATCATCACCTTCCTTTATGTCACTTGCAGCCAGCGAACTGCCTAATCTTAATTTCACCACGGGTGGATCTGAAATAAATCAAAATAAACATTTTACACTTTTCATTTTTGTTCCACCTTTTGGATGACACTACATCACAGACAGTTTCAAAGAAATATATTAATTATTCTTAGTATTGTCTTTGATTAACATAACTGTAACGCGAAATGTATCCGACGTTTCGCGTGCTTTACAGCGTGCGTGGTCACGGTGACTGAAGACAAAAGATGTTGAATGTCAAAAAGTATCACAGCTGCAGAGAAAGTTGCATTATCTGTATTTATTTCCCCGGAGTTGGTATCGACTAAAAGATGGAGGGTTTTGGCAAAAATGGCTTAAAAAGAAACACAATCCGCGAAAATAGAGGACACCGTAAGCCAATTTAAAATTATGTTAAATAGTTGTAAATTTATAATAATATATAACTTCAATCCGGTCAAAATAGTGTTTTATTAAATTAATTATTCTTGTACGTATATTGTTTTTAGTAAGTAGGGAACGTGATAAGTTTTTAATTGAAAATGTTTGTATTACATTCCTTCGAAATAATTAATCCCGGCTTTAACCAAATGTTTATATTTACTAAGCTTTAGGTACGCGAAAGTTCCAATTCCAAGAAGGGAGAAAAATGCAGCTCGTATCAATGAATGATCACTGAATCATATTTCACTTTAAATTCTTTAGCTGCTTTATCAATAGACTAAGTGTTCAAAAGTTAATATGTATATCTAGATACTACAGTAGCGGTCCCTGACTTTTTATTATTATGAATATTTTGGAATATAAATATAATCGATACTACTCAGGGGTAATGAATCATTCTAATCGTGAAGTCCAATTGTGTAAACAATTACGTTTCGTCATCTTCATTATCTCTATATATAGAAAATTCTCGTATCACAATGTTTGTTCCCATACTTCTCCCAAACGGCTCGACCGATTCTTAATAAATTGTTTATGCATATTCAGTAAGTCTCAGAATAAGCTACTATCTATATTTCAAACCCCTTAGAGATAAGGGGTGTCCACGTCAAAAAATTTATTTTTATTTTTTGGATAATTGTTTTTTATTTTATTTTTTTATACTGTGGCATTAAAAATACATACAACCATAAATTTTCACTCTTCTATCACCAACTCCTATTTTTTATTATAGTAGATAGTTATTTTTATTAAACTAAAAAAAAATGTTTCCTAGAAATAATAGACACGGCAAAACAACGCTTGTCGGGTTAGCTAGTATCCCTATAAAAAACAAAGCCACTTCCTTCCTGTATAATTTGATATTTAAAACTATGTCCATGCAGAGTTAAAAATAGCTAATAAAAATATACGTTCACTTACATACGACACTTATAGTCCATGTTGTCTCAAGAAAAAGGTTGGTTACGTTTGGATTTTCCGCCCGACAGGTGATGGGCTTTCCATCATCATCTAGAGTGGGTACGAAACTCATCACACTGATGGTCAAGTTGTCTCGTAACTCCTCCTGAAACAAATAAAATATAATAAATAGGTTTATTTGAGATTATTCAATTTTTTCAAAATGTGATAGGTTAGTACAAGTACATTATGTTATAAGATCTATAGTCGTATAGATATATATATTTTGTTTTTATATTGGAGGATAATACTTGTAGGTATCATTGTGTCGTTCTATCGCATTAGTAGTAACTGTTAATACATAATATTATAAAGTCTTGGAACTGTATTCGTTTACAAAAGTAAAGGTCAAACATCTATTTCTTCTTATTTTATTATATGATATTTTTAAATGTAATGTTTAACTAGAAACATTATTAAGTTTCGTGAATATAACAAAGAAAAGCTATGTTGTGCTATCATATTTAAAATATGTATTATTATCATATTTAATAATTTAATTTTCTATTACTACCGCGACCATAAGTATATATGTAATGTAATTATATATTAACAGTGAGTAAGTTTGCTTTATTTAATAACAGATAGAGAGATGATGATGGCTGGAAGTCTTCCACAGTCCGTTTCACAAGGCATTTTCTTTTGCGGACTAGCGAACTGTGGAATCGCCTCCCGGTGGGGGTCTTCCCTCAGAGATACGACCTCCAATTGTTCAAAAATCAAGTAAACTCCTTCCTCAAAGGCCGGCAACGCACCCACTAAAACTAAAACTTTTTGGGCGTCCCGCAAGCTCGTTTGCTCCCTATTATATAAAAAAGGATAAATAGAAATATCGTGCGTGGTCACCGTGACCACGCACGCTGTAAAGCACGCGAAACGTCGGATAAATTAAAATATTAAATAGTTGTAAATTTATAATAATACATAACTTCAATCCGGTCAAAATAGTGTTTTATTAAATGAATAAAAGTTATTTAATAAAGAAATAAATAGAAATATTCAAATTATTAGAAATGCTTTTGACTAACTAACTTTGTTATTACTTGCCCATATTCCCTTTTCTCCATGCCCTTTAAGTTAATTATCATCTCTAAAAATACAGTAATATCCCACCCCAGTTTATAGTGAAGTTAGTGGTACTATACATAATTCTAATAGATAGTGCACGAAAAACATAAAAGTAGATCAAACAAAAAGTACTGACAAAATATGTTCTAAAACACAATTTCCAATATAAAAAATATCGCAAACAATTCTAAAGGGAAACAAATCGAAAACGGTATGTGGATGCGGCTTCATAATTCTGATTATCAACGCAGCTGAGGCTTCAAAATTAGTGTCACTGAAATATAGCTCTTACTGCGTTGAGTTAGAGTACAGCCACTACCCTGCTCTATTGCTGAATGCATTTTGAAATGATTTAACAACACGAGAATTAACAACACAAATGCTTCGGCTTTTGAATTTGTACGTCACTTTGATAAGACTATGTAGGCTACATTGATGCTTAACGATAGACTCCTTTTTTAAACGACAACAAATGCACCAAAACGTATCAAATAATAATCTTTCATACTTAAATTCGCCCTATAGTTAGAAGAGAATGTATTCAGTGTTACTATGCTTTATTTATATACATAGGTATAAAGATAAGGGATTTTTTTCGAAGCCAAAAATGTATACCTCCGCGTTAATACATACTGTACTATACTGATAAAGTCAAATCTGCCTTCACTGAGAAAGGCGACTTTTACTCTGTACTTCATTCACTCGTGGGCTTCCATCCCGCTCTTAAGGCATCTGTCCCATCGACGCTCAAGCCAAGTTCCGATTCCGCTGAAGAAGCTAGTATTGGTAAAACCTATTATCAGGCTGAGCTCTAAAGGCATTTCAGACCAACAGCGAGATTTAATTCAAGAAAATATCGTGGCATTCGATAGCTAAGCCCCGCGTCATTTAGTTAAGCCTAGGTGAAGTAAAGGACTCCTTGCATCGAGTCCGGTTCAATATTAGCCCACCTCATATTGTATGAGCAGTTTTGGCCTAGTGGCTTCAGCGTGCGACTCTCATCCCTGAAGTTGTAGGTTTGATCCCCGGTTGTGCACCAATGGACTTTCTTTCTATGTGCGCATTTAACATTCGCTCGAAAGGTGAAGGAAAACATCGTGAGGAAACCGGCTTGCCTTAGACCCAAAAAGTCAATGGCGTGCGTCAGGCACAGAAGGCTGATCACCTACTTGCCTATTAGATTACCTAATGATAATGAAACAGATACAGAAATGTGAGGCCGAGACCTAAAAGGTTGTAGCGCTTTTGTTTTATTTAGTTTTGATTTATATTGTATGAACCTAACGTTATATAATATTCAAGAAAAACAATTAAGTATTATTATTTATTGGCTTCCAGAAGCATTTTTTTGGCTAAATATACACAAAGTTACGGATAGGAGGGAAAATAAAGAAATATGTTAAAAAAACGATTAAATGATGGATGAGTTTGATATTAATTTGAGGTGTTCACTTAAAAACAAGTGGGACGAACAAAAATTTACATTGTGTTTGCCGTGACGCATCGCTCAATCAATATAAAATTATTGTATGGATATTTTATGATCCATTCACGAGTATGACATGTTTATGCGTAGCCCGCATTGGCATTGATGTAGGAATAATTGTTTCATTGCTCTCCGGTGTGAATAATATCTAGGATAAGTTTAATCGGTTTGCTGTTATCGGTAATTTTAATGGTTTGGAATGGTCATTTATTTTGTCGAATGTTTTTTGCAATTTCGAATGGAGCTGAAAGGTCAAAGGTATAGGTTATCCTAGATAACAAATTACTGAACAAGTCAAATTATGAATAAAGTGTACAACCCATTTGAAACGATTTAATACGGAAAATACAGCCTCCAGTATTGCGACCTCACACCTGCGCACTCACTTATGTATAAATAAAGAAACAGTACAAATTATATTTATGCAAGGTATCAAACCTACAAGTCGTCGGAAATATCTGCGAACCTGGCTTAATGACGTCATACAAACTGGAGAGATAGCAAAAAAATTGAAGATGTAAAAATAAAAAATATTTTATTTGTGTACTTATTTTTATTGATACTCGTACCTACCCATCTTACATACAGCACTAAATAGGTAGTTTATGTAATATTTCACCAAACAGAGAAACAATAAACACTAAAATGCGATTACGAAAGCAAGAATAATACACGTGCGGCGTCGGCGATTGCGTTGGCAACGGTACTGGATAGGCGAAAACGGGGCGGGGTGCGGGGGCGCCAGGGGAAGCGCATTCCAGCGAGGTTCGCAGATATTTCCGACGGCTTGTACGTATACAAATTTTGAATGTACTTGACAAAGTTTCAATTCTAACACATATAGTTTGTATTCCAAACTAGCTGCCCTGTTGAATTTTCTTCCGCCTTAATATATATTTTACTTAGCGTACCTTTTCAGTAACTACATACATACACACCAACTTCAAAAAATTACTCGCATTGGTCCAGCCGAGCTCGAGATTTGCGCTTAGCAGCATATTTTGCGATTCATTTTTATTTATATAATATAATATATAATAGAAATATTAAATTACTTAACGGTAACGTTACTGCAAATATGCTTAAAGAATAAGTATAACTGCAGTAATCTTAGTTCTATTTTTTCTTTCTTTTTAATATTTTCGAGTTATTCTCGAAATTTTCTATTCTTAGAATATATGAAATCTAACAAGTTTAAACAAACAAATATATTGTTAAGGTATTAATCTAGATATAAGTACTTAACCGTACTAAAAGTAAACTTTGGTAAGTTTTACAATTTTTGTAAAGATTGCAATACAGAACTAATAATCCTTATAAAGATTTATTATGTGCCCATTGGGCTAGGTCACAATTTCTTGAACTGACACGAATTCGACGTAAAATGATGCGTAGTTTTACATTAATATCAACTTATCAATAGTTTATTATCGAATGAAAAATATAAGGAATTGTCAAAAATCTAAGAAATTTTATTTGTTCCAATCACATTAACAATTCATTTTCAACTGAGAAATAATCAAATGAATTTCATAGTATTATCCCTGCTCGTAAAAATATAGTTTGGTGTTAGGTTCAGTGAATGTCCAAAAAACATTTAATTGCATCATACAAAACTGGATATCGGAGTTTCATAATTACCTTCGTTGTTCGTAAACAGCAGTTTTGGTTATAGTTTTACACAAAGGCTTTGTTAGGAGTTCTGTCCTTGTTCGGTTTGCACCTGAATGCAATAAGGATCTGCATAAAACGGTACCGATTTTCATAACGGAATTTCCTAACTTCCGTTTGGAAGTGTTAAACTTTGTTGTCGTACCAGTTTATGTTATTGTATTCTTAAAAACGCATGACGTTTTTATAATATACCTTCGTTTCATAATGTTTGTATGAAGATATTTATCAACAGATGGCGTTGTGCATGTGAAAAACGCGATAGCGAAACGATGCCATAGAAGTATGTACTATTAGGGATTTCATTTATTTAACGATGAGCCCCCGACCTGCCCTTCAGGCGATTGACCATCCCGCGACGGCCCAAGCCGAGGTTCGAATCTCACAGGAGACGCCCTTGGCCCTTACGCTAGTCACGGGAAAAACGCCCATTCAGTCCAAGTTGAGCTGTAATGACCCTGAAGGCCAACAACGAGATTCCAATAATAAAAAAATATTAATAATAAAATTCCAGCTGAGCTACTCTTTCCAAAACAGCCCGAGCTAAGCTGTAAAAGCCAATAGCGACATTCTAGTTAAAAAATAAATATATATTTGATGATGATGATTTAGAAGTTTTGAAGTAAGTTAATTTATTTGTAAGATTGTTGTTAATGTTGAAGGGAAACAGAAAAATGCTTTAGATTAATAAAGATTGTACCATATTTCTGCTCCCGAATATCCCGCTAACGCAACGCCATGAGCAATGGCAAGTGACCTAATAACATACTCACGCTGCTCACTTCTTTTTCGGCATAACCTAACCTACATTTCAAAACGGGGAGGGGTGCCTCTCTTCCGAGAACTATCAAGTCTCTGTTGACCTGCCATTGGGTTCATCAGATCATTGTGTGGTCCGGAGTTCGCGCCTTCACTGTTGCCATCTACCCGCCCTTCACGGCCCCGCCTTTATGGGGTTGTCGCCGTATTTGGCACTATAAGTCAGCAGAGTTGGGACGGGATGCGGTCTTTCTTTGCGTCCTACCCTTGGGGGCCTATGTGCTTTTCGCCGGAAGCTCCAGATTCCGTCGCCGCCTCTGTCGCCGAGGTGGTTCTGCAGGGCATGGAACTCTTTATTCCATTTTCTGCGGTGCCGATCGGTGGCAAGTCTCAGCCCTGGTTTAAACGTTCTTGCAAGGCGGCCTCGCGTCGAAAGCGAGAATGCTTTAAGGCATGGGCGGAAGCGGCGAAATCTCGTGATGCCAATACCAGCGAACTTAAAAAACCATATAACTCAGCCTCCAGGTGCCTTCAAACGGAAATCACCCAGGCAAGGCAAAGTCAGAGCACATTGCCAGATTTCAGTCCAGAGTGGCCCTACTCCCATCAGGGACTCGAGCCTTTTCCTCCAACTGTCCAATGATTTTGTCAGCCCGCCATCGCCACTCTGCACAGGGAGGATGACTCTCTGCCCACACTGCGAAGGAGAAGCTGCCTTTCGCGTATAACTTGACTTTGGATGACCAGGGGATCACCACCGACCATTTCGCGGTGTGATCTTCGATGCCGGAAATCTTTTTTCCGCACTATCTTTTTTCATATCAATATTTTTAATCGGCTGAGTGTGCTTCTGAGTTGGCTCCGGTCTTACGCGTTTTCTACCTGTATCGTGGCACTGGCTCGAAGTGTGGAAGACCGCTTTGATACATCCGTCCAAAAAGGCGATCGCTCTGATCCGTCCAACTTTCGCCCAATAGCTATACCTCCTTTTCTCCAAAATAATGGAAACCATTATACAGCCAGCTCTTGAGGTATCTAGAGGGCCACCAGCTGATTAGCGATTCTAGTACGCTTCCGTCGTGGTGTCGGCTGGTGACCTCCTTG